ACATTCATTCATTACCTCAGTTTTCTACCGATACATAGGACTTCCTGACTGTAATTAGCATGCGAACAATATCAAAACATACCAAATTCAAACAGAGAGTGGACAAAAAGGTAACGAATTTTCAATTTTGGAGATGGGAAGCTGAAATAAGAATTAAGAAGGATTAAACAAGATGCAAAGGCAAAGGAGCCAGCATGGAAGATGAACCATACCTATGTATAGATATGTCGCACTCTTCCACGCCCACAACGACTCTAGCCATGTCCAAAACTCTCCTCCAAGACTTAATCCAACAAGCCCTTTCCCAGTCAAACCCCTAGAGATTGCGAAAAACATGACTGGGAATCCGGTGGTCACCAACACCATGCTGCACAACGCACGTAACATGCTCTTCATGCGTCTGGATCTCAAATCGGGTTTTATAGGACGAACCATTAGACACATTGGCACTAGTAGCAACGCTCCAATCTCTGCAGTGGCGAAATTGATTATAGACATGAGGCATAGACCGATGAAGGCAGCTGAGATAGTCACTGATTTCAAGACAGCCCACTTGGTTCCATGGAGCCGAGAGGAGAAGGGAGAGCAACCCGGGATTGTGACAAAGGTTATAAGGAGAAGCGAAGCAGATGTAGTAACCCACATGATGGAGCGGTTTGTTGGAGAATGTTGGCCCGGTACTTGACAGATGAAATAGGGAAGCAGCGAGACAATGAAACCCATCAAGTGCAAAGCAAAGACCTGTTTGGCTGCACCTAGCCATTTCCATGACTTGAGGTTTTCAGCAGGGTTACTAGTGGATTTGGTAAGAACGTTACAACCATCAATGTATAAAGAGGCTGCAACCATCGGAAGAGGGGCTACAAGAAGAGCAAATGCGATCATGTAGACTCCTACAGAGATAAATTTGCTTGAGGAAGTTAATAGGTAGAGGAAAAACGATTGGTGGAACTTCTCAAGGAGGTTATTAACTGATCTTATAGTTCCTTCAAGTAACCTGCATTTAAAGAACAAGCACATAGTTATCATCAAACACTCATAACAGAGTTTAGGAGTATAGCAAAGATTACAATTCTTAAATTCTACTATAGCATCAATTATTTTCTGAAGTTCTTTAGCATTACAAAATATACACATACTAGCAGAGGTAGGTATACGGTATAAAATGGGAGAGAATGAATATATATAAATGAAAACTCACTGGGCGCCTCGTAGAAAGAAATCGTGTTGCCTTGCCTTACTGTCAGGTGGAAATCTAGGTGAAACTTTCAACGTAATTGCATCAACTTGATAATCACGGAAAGCTCCATGCGGGCCAGTTGGGATACCAAGGGCCTGATGAAAATGAATAAAGAAATAATGTAACATTTTCTGTCAACCTTCAAGACTTTTCCTTGTTACAATGTATCAGTGCGACCGCAACCACAAGAACTTAATCAAGGAAAGATAAATTATACACTTTTACCTGAGAATAGAGTGAACTTGCAAGGGTAGCACTGGCTTCAAGATAGTCTGCGACTGGGATACCGAAATTCCAGTTGGGATTTAAAGTATGAGCCACTTTTCCAACAGCTTCAAATATTTCTCCGAAAATCTTTAGCCAACTAGAGGAAAGTAAAGATACAACCTTCTCCACCTTAACATAAAAACCCTGCCTGTGTACCGCTAAGTAATTTACAACATTGATGAGGTCGAGATTTGGCATCTGCCCATTAGATGCCTCTGCGTAGATGCTTAGTGTGTCCTCGAACCTTTCACTTCTACCATCAACCTTCAAAACCAAAGCAGCAGCCATTGTTCCAGCCCGTCTGAAGCTGCCAGATGTATTAATCTCGTCACACTTCAGCAAATCCGAGACCTTAAATGAAGGTGTGTGGTATTCACTTAACCACGCAGCAACGGGTCTATAATCTCCATAACGAGAATCAGCAACAAGCCATATTATGTCTTTGGAAAGCCAGGTAACTCTAGCGAGCAAGGAAAATAGAGAACTGGCAATGCCTAAAGACAAAGCCTCATAGTCTCCACCATTTATAAAATCATAGGGAGTAACCAGGACAATAGACTCTTTTCCATCACCACGAGGAGCTCTTATAATTCCTGCAACGTTGACCCCATAAGAAGCACAACTAACATTCCCCATCAGTGTATCTGAATCAGGACCGGAGAAGAAGCGCAGGGGGTGAAATTGATTCCCTTCAGGATGGAACTTTTGATAATAAATTTCTGCACCCATTTCTGACATGTGTTGTCCAATGAGCCTCTGCACTTCACTAGAAAAACAAAGTCATACAAATGGAGAATAATTAACTTACTTGGGCAAGGGGAGAAAGAGGAAAATGTCAACTGCTACATCTGGAAAAGGATGCAATTGCAG